ATAAAATATAATGAAAACAAACTTCTCTTAAAAATAACAAAAAAGTCAACTTACCCAGCCTCATCGGCCACTTGTTGCAATAGATTATCCACATCACCCTGGGGCACTGAAGTGGTAACCGTATCGGACATGGTATTTTCCATAACCGAACTTTGCACATCCAAGTCCTCGAATTGTTGTTCGAATTTCTCCATTAACGAAGAAATTTTCTCCAAATTCATACCCTTCATGGCAGCATCCATAGCTTTGACCACACCGGCCATTGAGCCCGTCACTTTACGTGTGGTCAAAGCCGATTGTACACGACTAGCTACAGCATCTACTCGGGCACTCATACGCAAATAATTAACTGCTTGATTTTCTGTCTTATGGCATTTTCTGCATGTATTCGTGCCACATCCATATTGCCCTTTTGTATGGCCTTTTTGGCTTTGGCTTTTTCCAGTTTCTCTTCCTTTTCGCATTTTTTACTATTGCGTTCTAGTTCTTTGACCGCGAATTTCAGATTGAACAAATGTTCTGTAAAATGTTAATTAATAAGACACACACATGTAATAATTAATTTCATTTTAATTAAACTCAAAGTATTTCCTTAACTTACTTTCCATTTGTGCCGTAGACATATCGTTCCCCAGTTTGCTGCTTTTACTTTAAACACTCAAAAAATTTAAAATATTTGTTTTATATTATTTTTTTGAAATATAAAAATGTTTTAATTTGTTGGCTAGTTTTTTTTATTTATTAATATTTGTTTAATATTGTTCTGTAATTTTTCTTTGTATGATTCACTTGTTTTTCTTTGATTCTCTTTCTGCTATACATTCTTTAAAAAAAAAGTACGTCATTCTTATCAGCTGTAAGCAGGGTTGAATTTAACAATAATGCCAGATTGTTAAGCAAGGGAAGTGATGGAGAACGTTACTAGTGGTAAAAATGGTGAGAAAGTAAGTTTTTATTTAAAATATACAGTTACTAATTAATTACAACGAGAACCGCTGACCACAGAAGGCATTTGGACGATTTTGAGATTTAATAATAATTAAATTTTATTTATCTATTTGTAAAGCTAATCCAAAAATTAGGTTTTAACAATCTTATGCGCAATCTTTATTTCAAGTCACTAAATTTAAATGTCAATGGTATTACAGGTGAATTCACAAAATAACTTTTAAAAGCATTTTCAATGGGATAATTAAATTCAATTTTAAAATTACGCACTAAATTAGCCATGGTTATTTCCATTTCCAAATCAACAATACGTTTGCCCACACATGAACGTGGACCAAAGCCGAAGGGTAAAAATGTAAACGGATTTATATTCTTTGCAGACATGCTACTATATTCCATGTTCTCCACACGTAACCATCTCTCCGGTATATATTCATTGGGTTTAGGAAAGTACCTCTCATCTTGTAGCAGTAAATTTGAAGGCAACAAAACATTTGTATTTTTAGGTATTTGATAACCACTTAAACAAAGATCCATGCCGGTAGCTCTTAAATTGCCAAATACCACTGGATATAAACGTAGAGCTTCTTTTATGCAAGCTCTAAGGTAGGGCAAATGTTTAGTATTTTCTATGGTGAATTTTTCACTTTTGCCAATTGTATTTAAAATTTCCTCACGCAATTTCTGTTGTTTCTCTGCATTGGTGGCTAAGCAAAGAATAAGTGCCGATAAAACGGACGAAGTAACCTCGACACCAGCTATTAACATATCTATAGACATAATCATGGCGATTTTACGATCAATTTTTAATAATTTTTCTAAAACACTCTTTCCGTCAGTGTTATCGCCTTGCTTTTCCAAACGCTGTAAAGCCTCATTGGTATATTTGAAGCAAATATCGAACATAGTGTCCATAGATTTAGCAAAACGTTTGTAGGTGGGCGTTTTGATATATCTATAAATCGAAGGTTTTATGCCCAAATCATAAAAAGCTCTGGTAAAAAGTTGTAAATTCTCAAATAATTCTTTAGCTTCGGGCGTAATGGAAGTATTTCTAATAAGACCCATCTCCTTATCCAAAGCCACTACAGCTACAGACTCAAATGATAAACGATTTATATCTTTTATAAATGTACCGGGAACTTCCAAGGTCTTAGGATCGCGGATTTCTTTAATTCTGTTAAAAAATGCGATTAAATATTTCATATATTTTGAAACTGTTTGAAAGAAATTTATTGATAACTTACCTTTGTACAAACTCATTATTAACCTTTTGCATGGGATCCATATAAAGTTTAGCATTTTTGGGTTGCATTAAAACAGGATTAACTGCGTGTCTAAATTTTCCCCATTGTTTGCCACTAAAAAAATAAAAAATTTTCTTAGTAAAATTTAGTATAAATTACGTTAAAAAACTTACTTTCCTGCCATTCCCAAATATTCTTCTACATAAAAATTATCTTTCCTCGACAGACGATAATAGTTTACCAATTCATTACCTGGTCTTATGGGATATGGTCCTTCGGTACGAAATATTTTTTCATGATCCTCCAAATTAAATGTTATCAAGTTGGAATTTAAACCAAATAATCCAGGCATATAATAGATATCGCCATAACGTTGACGAAGCAAGTTTAGAACATCAATAAATGGTAAACTATGAAATTCACCCCCCTTAATAAAACCACGAAACATTTGAAATTTAGATGGTCCTGGTAGGGTTTCAAAAGGTTTCGCCTGAGACCATTCTGCTTGTAAACTATCAATATAAGAAGTTTCCAAAGCAGGTTGATTGATCTATTAGGAAGGAAATATGATATTAAATATTTCTACAGACACCTGCAAATTTTTATAGTATTTTTTTGTTTAACATACCTTAACATCAACAAGTGTTGAATACTTGTTGTAATTTATTAATTTAAATAAATATTTTGATTGTTTCAGTTGTATCTTTGTTATCATTTTATATACTATGCGCCGTTGAAGCAACCTCTCTATATAAAATCTGAATTAAAACTGAGTATATTATATTGTTTGTAATTTAAATCAAGTACTTTAATAAAAGCTAATTTTTTATTAAATTATTTTGATAAGAGATGATCACCTCAACCCTCCAAATGTACTATACCAGTGTGTACTGAATATATACATACTATATACATAGGTATGTGTATTATAAATTAATGCTCAAAAATCTTAAGAGAAAATTGTAGTTATATTATTTTCTTAGTAATTCAGTTGATTTAAACATATTTATATAAGTTACTTCAAAAATTTCGACTAGAGTTCGGTAGATATTTAGGCGCAATTTACTATTAGATTCTCAAGAAATTAAAATCTTAATATTCGACTGGAGTATCATGGAAATTTCTATACAAAATTTTGTCGCCATTTTCTACTTAATTTCTATAGAATTTTTGTCACCAATAAATTTCTACGAAGATTTTATCGCTAATTTCGACTACATTTTTATAGAAATTTTGTCGCCATTTCTGAATAAATATTATAAAAATGTCGTCAGTTTCTACTAATTTCTACAGAAATTTGGTCTCCAATTTCGGCTAAATATCTATAGAAATTTTATAGAATATTTCTACTAATTTCTTGTAAAAATTTTGTAGAAAATTTCGATTTAATTTTTATAGAAAGTTTGTTGTAAATTTCTCCTAAATTCCTATATAAATTTTGTGATTTTGTATTATAATTTTCGACTAGATTTTATTAACCCTTAATAGCCTGGTGGTACCGACAGGAACCAACCAATAAAAATTAAGTTTTTTGTTATTTAAATATTTGTCAACTTCATGTTATGACTTTTAAAATGTTTTTATTTGCAAGCGGCACTAATTTCTTTGATCGGTATTGGAATCAAGTTTCATTTGGCTTGTCCAGGTTCAAAAGAATGCAATTACCTCAAAAAAAATTTCTTTTGTGATATTGTGTACTTTTGACAAAAAGTTTTAGTTATAAATCGACAAAATCTTAAACAGAAAAAAAATATTTTACGGATCGTTGCCTAATATTATTGTAATAATAGGTATTTGAAGTGATTTTACTTCTTTAGTTAGTGGGATTTTTTAAATTTCTGGTTGGTTCTTTAAGGGACCACCAGGCACCCAGACTTCAAATTTTTTCATACATCAGATTATATAAATCGATATTTTTGGGATGTTTTTTGATTGATTTATTTTAAAATGAAGCATAGCATTTCTGCCAGTAGTCTGTTATTGCTTGATGAAATCTTTTGTTAAAATTCGAGTGGGAAAAGATCGACCAAACAATTTTGGGGTTGAAATTGCTTAGAAACGTCGGCGTACAATCTCTGTTTATTGCCAACTAGCTATATTCACCTAGATCACATAATACTCTTACCAAAATTTATACTATAAGGCATAACGCGATCAAAAAAATCCAAATTATTCATCCCTAACGAAAGTTCGATGTCGAAAATGTCGCATAAAATCATATTTTTCATCAGAAAAGAGCTGTTTTATATATTTTATTTATATCCCAATATAATTATATTCATTAACAATGAAATTGCTTATTATTGCCTTTAAAGTACGTTTTACAATATTTATAATTTGGAAGTCCGGGTGCCTGGTGGTTCCTCTAGGAACCAACCAGGTATTTTTCGCATAACACAGGTAAATACTACATATGAACAAAGTTGTAGAACAAAAGTTGCTTAGAAATGTAAGTTTTATAACATTAATTTTTTTTCCGTTCAAACAAAAAAATCAGGCTATTAAGGGTTAAGCGACATGGCCACACATCAAATTGTTTGACTCAAAAGGTAAGTTTTTTTATTGTGTTAGTAAAAAAACTCACACCGCATATATACATGTGAGTTTTTTCACTACCCAATAAAAAACTTACCGTTTGAGTCAAACAAATTTGATGTGTGGCCGTGTCGCTTTAGAATTTAATATCCCCTCAACTTGCCGAGTTAAAGTTTACTTTTGGTTATAATTTGTGCTTTTTTGGTCTCTCAATATACATTTTAAAAATATGGCATCTCTATATTTACATATTTTTTGTATTTCTCTACACATTCTCATTCTATATTTGGCATTTACTATATTTACACATCATACGTCGTAGTAATTAGAAAAAAATTAATAAAATTTACAAAATTAATATAATTTAATAGAAAAACTAAATAACTTGTTAATAAACATTAAAATTATATTATAAAGAATAATTAAACTTAAGAAAAAACTCGAAAACAAATTAATAAATAAAACAAAATGAGTGACGACGATAGAGATATTGACATTGAAAGTGATGTAAGTGGAATACAAAAAGAAATGAAATTACAACAACTAAAACACATTTTTTAAGCATAAACAAAATGAAAAATAGTTAATTTTAAAGAAAAACAACAACAATACTAATTGTTTATATTATATTTGTTTGGTTTTAACAGGATGATAATGATTCCGATGCTGGAGGTTCTCAACAGCAGAGACACACTAGCACACAAAATTTTACCCAAGAAGAAAAACGGGCCCACCATAATGCTTTGGAACGTAAGAGACGTGATCATATCAAAGAAAGTTTCACCAGTTTAAGAGAAGCTGTACCCTCGTTAAAGGGTGAAAAGGTAAAATTATCAACAGTTAAGGCAGAAAAAATAGACATACCTATTTATTTAATATAATTTTATTATTTGTTTATAGGCAAGTCGTGCCCAGATTTTAAAGAAGACCACAGAATGTATACAAATTATGAGAAGAAAGATTCAAGCTAATCAAAAAGATGTAGAAGATATTAAAAAACAAAATGCTGTACTAGAGGCACAAAGTAAGTCATTGGGGATTATAAATAAAACTTTTAAAAAACCATATTTTCTTCTTATTTTTAGTACGTATGTTGGAATGTGCAAAGAATGGCTATGTTATTGATCCCACAGAATATCAACAGTTGACCAATGGTGATCAAACATTACAACACGACAGTTCGGATGGTGATGAACAAGATTTTAGTCGTCGTAGTAAAAAAATGAAAACGTCTTATCAGGCCTAGTAACTAATGCAAAAATTTGATGATATGAAAGTTTAGAGATGTTATAACTTACAACAACAAGAACAACAAAACCAAAAGAAAAACATGTAAATCAAAATATGCAACTGTAAAACAACTAATTGAAACAATTATGGAATAAAAAACTCATAGGATTTGTTGAAAGGATTATAAGAACTAACAGATTAATAGCCAAAATCTATTAAGAGTATAAATATTTGTATAATATTACATTATTGGAAAAAAAGTAGTCAAGTAGTAGAAGAAAAGTAATAATTTTCCCACTCTCTAATATATTTTTTGTGTCTTTTTATAAATGTTTAATAAAAATTTAAGATATAAAAGAAAATGTTGTTTTAAAAGTTTTTTTAAGGGAAAAAAACTACTATTGTCTAGTTTATGGTTAAATCTATTGTATCTATGAACTGGACTATTGCGGGTAATCTTTAGAATATATTATCATTTGTTGTAAATAAAACTACATATACCTATCTAATTTACATAAATATTAACACTTGCAAATGCAATATTTTATTTTTCATACATTTAACTATATTTTTCGCAAATATTTTATAAAAAAGTTCAACTAATTACAAAAATTCCAAGTTTTTACTTAAAACGCTTACAAACTGCCGATAACTTACTTTATTTTCAGTACCACATATAATATTAAAAACACAAATAATACAAACAGAAACATATAACACATATGACGACTGCCACCATTTTTGCCTAGTCTTATAACCCGTTGCATTGTATTGCCCAGGAAGCCATGTGTACGATCCATATCATCATCCATGCCGCGTAAAAGTTTATCTTGATAACGCACTTCATTGCCTATATCAATGGTAAGCGATTTAAGAGCTCCAATTTTTTGCTTAAGCTCTTCGGCAGCCTTTTCATTTTCATCTTCTAGAGAGTCGTGTGCTACCCTACTGGGTCCGGGATTTTGACTGAGGGGTTGATAGGGATAATTGTTGTTACGTCTCATATTTGGGTGCGCCACGATGTAAGTTGTTTTTCATACAACTAAAAATTTGTAACAATTAAAATTATGTTGAAATTTCTTTTTAATTAATAAAATTGTAAACAAAGTGACACGTACTTATTTTGGTGTTCGATATGTGTTATGTTTTGGTTTATAATTGTTGTATTTACACTGGAATGCTTTAATGCCTTACCCAGTTCGAGTTAATTTTTAATTAAAAATATTTTACTTATAATTAATAAAGGTATATTTAGTTTAATATTATTAATTTTTCTGCTATTTCTTTTTTTTTTTTTTTTGTGATATTCTTAGGTTGGCGGTGTATAAACACACAAATTGCCAGGTTATCACACAACACGTAACTTAACAAGTACGCGAATATAACAATCCAAAATATAACAAAAACTGTGGTGAAATTTATGATTCACCACCAAATGTAGTCAAATACACTTCCACAGAATACATCTGTAAGCGTGAAAGGTTGTGAGCATAAAATAAAAATAATAAAGAAAATTTTGAAAATTACAAAAGAGGAGTCATTTTACACTCCTTTATAAACTTAATTAATCCATAAAAGTCCTCTTTATTATAGGACTTTAATAAGTCAAATAAACAAGAATATTTATCAAAAATAGTGTGTCTTCCTCTAAAATCATTATATTTAGAACAATGAAAAATTAAATGGTTGGCATCCTCAATAACATTGCAGGTACCACACAAACCAGTATCCTCAACCCCTATCATATTCAAAAATTTTCTGTCATAAGCATGACCTGATAATAAACGGTTCAAAATCTTAATCTCACCAGGATCCAGTGAGAAACCTCGATACCAGGGTTTAAGCGGTACAGATGGGTTCAACGAGAAAAAGAAACCCCCCTTACTCTGAGATATTTCAGAATAAGAGACATTCCACTCTCTCACCAATTCATTATAAATTAGTCTTTCAGTCCAATCTGTCGTGTGATCAACCCTAACAGGGGCTCCATTTTCGATGGCCAGTTTCGCCAGTTCATCCGCCCTCTCATTAAAAGAAATCCCAACATGACTGGGAACCCAGACCAAATGAATAGACCTTATATCCGAATTGTTAATTATCTGAATAATCTCAGAAACCAAACAATTCTGCCATCGATTATTCAAAATAGATAAAAGAGCATTTTTGCTATCAGTAAAAATAACGATCTGCTCAGACTTGTCGAAAACAGAGGCCAATAAAGCCTCACGTATAGCAACAAGCTCAGCAGAGAGAGAAGACAATCTCACATCACTCCTAAAGATTAAAAAGCGATCAATAGATGCCAGAAAAACAGCAAAACCCGAAGCACATTCTGATATTGACGCATCAGTGGCCATAATAGAGTAACCTGAATACTCATATTCCCAATATAACCTCTCATAGTACGCACGAATGGATGACAAAGGGTAAGTACTTTGCTTCTTGCCAAAGGGATGATCAATCCTAAAAGTGACCTTTTCGGACACCAATGACTTACTGCACTTACCCACCTTGTCAAGGAGATCACCAAACTTGGAAAAAACAAATGAATAGCTATTCTTTAAATGCCTATTGTCAGAGATGAGTTCAAAAAGTGACGGATTGAAAATTGAAATACGCAAAAGTTCCTTCACAGTCAGAAAAATGGCTCTTAAATCGTTTGGAAGTTCACAAGCTAGTGCATAAATTACATGAACTGGCGTGGATGGAGTCAAACCAAGACATCTTCTCAGGGTAGCATTCTGAAAAGACTGAATTTTCCTATTAATGTACTGTGGAGAATGAGCCGTGGTCGTCCTGGCATACTCAATTTTGCTCCTAATAAAACTTTTATAAAAATTAACAGCAATATCCGGTCTAAGTCCACCCCTCACACCACCTAGACACTTAAGTAACCTTACAGCTGAATAACAGTTGTCCAATACAGCATCATAGTGTTCCTTAACAGAAAGGCTATTCATTATCCTCCTACCGAGAAACTTAAGAGAAGAAACCTGGACAATACGCTGACCATTGACAGAAATGTCAACAACCTTGCGACCACCCTTAGCAAAATACATTACATTTGTCTTGCGAATATTAAAAGTGAAATTAAGTGATGAACAAATATCAGCAAAATCAGAAATCTTCCTCGATAAGTTGTCAACAGCGTCATCAAAAGATGAATCAAAGGAAATAATGAAAAAGTCATCAGCAAACTGATATACCAGGGTATTCTCATCTTCAATGCTATGTAGAGATGAAGAATATAAATTAAACAAAATGGGTGAAAGACAACTTCCCTGTGGGAGACCATTAAAGACCCTAACTGAGCTATTGCCTAGACATAAATTCCTATTAGATAAAAAACAAATAATCCAGTCAACCATGTCAAGAGGAAGACCATAGTCGATCAGAATACGTCTTAGAATTTTGACATTGACACAATCATACGCAGCCGTAATATCTATTGTAGCAGCAATAATTCTGAATCCTTGTGCCTTTAACATTGAAATCCTGAAAAGAATCTCATTTATACAAATTGGAGCTGAATGATTTCTTCTGTATGCAAAAGTACGAGAAGGAAGTAATGACCTTTCCTCTACAACCGTCGTCAAACGATCCTTCACAATGAGATTAATGGTCTTCATGAACACTGAAATTAGGGCTATAGGCCGAAAATTTGTATAAAGAGACAGATCCTTATCCCTTTTGGGGATAGGCACAATCCGAATGTCTCTCCACGATGGTCTGATGATACCATTACAAAAGAAGCTATTGAATGCAACAAGCAAAGAGTCACGAGAATATGAGGATAAAGATCTTAACATTTCATACGTGACACGATCACAGCCACCCGCTGAATTGGCCTTTCTGCCATCAAGCACAGAATCGAGTTCAGATCTAGTCAAGGGGGTGAAAGGACCAATATGCATCCTGGAAAACTCACAAAGTGTGTTATCCGGAACCTGATCCCTCAAATGCTCCAGAAAGGGCAGATTGTTACCATCATCCCATAAGGAAGTCCGGGAACTGGCTGAGTTCTTCACATTGTTAACAAATTTCCAAGCACTCCTGGTGTTCGGCTGTAAGTTCAATTCCTCTAATCTCCTACGGAAAGACTCAGATTTGGCTCTCCTGACAGCATCCTTCCAATTAAGGAAAGCTAAGGAGGCTTCCTCCAAGTTATCAGGAGTGGGATATTTTGAAGCCTTTTTCCTAGCCGCGACTTGCAAACGAAACAATACAGACATATTCGAATTCCACCAAGATTTGGGTGAAAATGATTCTGATGTCCTGACCGTAGCAGAAGATATACGGGACCTGAAGGTATTCTCAATGTCATCAAAATCTGGAGATAAGTAAGTGGAATTCAAGTCCGAAAGGAGTCTTCGTTTCGATAGGAAAGAGACAGGTCGTGGAGATGAGGAATCAATATCCATTATTATAGGATAATGGTGGCTGCCTCCCAACCATACTGGATCAGTTTTCCATGAAATTGTAAAATTACAATTAGAAAAACTAAGATCCAGAACTGTACCCCTCGTTGACTGAAGATTAGGAAGAAAGGTCGGAGAACCGTCATTGAGACACATAAAAGACGAGGACGACAAAATGTCATACAATAGATTGCCCCTGGGAGAGTCATGGTAGTCACCCCAGTGTGTAGATCGAGCATTAAAATCCCCTGCAATTATAACATTATCAAAACTAGCTACAAAATTAAACAACCTACTTAACTCAGAACGACAAGTATCAATAGGGATGCTACCATAACGATTGGGTGGTAGATAGACAGAAACAAGAATCAGGTTATTTTTGAGATTCAAAGTTCTAAGAATCAGAATATCCAAATCTGTGTTAAAAGAAATTCTAGAGACACGTATTCCTTTCCTGACCGCTATGGCACATCCACCATAACCATCAGACCTGGTCTTACAAAAAATATTAAAGTTCAAAATATTATTAGATGAATTACAATTATCTACATTAAAAATCTCAGACAAAATACAAATATCAATAGAATGTTTATCAATAAAGTACTCGATCGAACCTTTATTGGTAGCTAAACTTTGTACATTGTGCTGTAAGATCCTCATTGTGTTGCAGTAAGAGGCCGACTGGACGAGGAAATAATTTCCCTGTCCATGTCCAATAAAGCAACATTTATCTTACCCTTGAAATCGTCAAGTACTCTAATAAAAGAGGCTTCCCTCTTTTCAGCAAAATAATCTCTCATGACCTTTGTCATCTCCGTGACAAGCTTTTCAAACTGAGTAACCCTTTCTATTTTCCTATGAATTATCGGAATGGTAGGGTCCGTGTTAACCGGTTGCAATTGCCTAATAGGTTTATTGAGCTTAG